GTGAGATCCGGCCTACGAAATGGCGGCGACCGTACAATCCATCCAGAGACACCGCCGACGACGCCATCTTCTTCGTCGGACATGAGGTCGACGGTGGCGGACTTACAGAGTTCCACTTCCTCATCTGATAGCACACTCTGCCTCGCCTTCAGCAGCTGAAAAAAAAACAATGAATCAGCGCACTGCATATGGACACAACACATCTATCAATGCACCTGAAAAATAGTCACCAAATAAAGTCTTACCCTCTTTCTTCTGGCCCGACTCCGAGCAGATAGCCTGGCGGCCTCCGTACGCAGCGTGCTGGCTAGCAGCGTGTATCTGAAGCTCCTGCATACCGTCTCATAATACGTCTTACAGGCAGCTGGAAAACAAATAAGAGTGGTATGAATAAAAAAAAAAAATCAAACGCAAGTCACAGTAACAAGGAAGGAGAAAACATTAAAACAAGTCACTTACACACAATGTCGTCTTTATCAACATCGTGCAAATCCGAGCAAATAGGAGGTCACCGCCTCATTGTGAGGCGACTGTAGTCTGTGAAAAAAAAAAAAAAAAGTACAGCTATGGTCGGTATCAATCCGTATCCATGTCCTTTTACCGCATATTCTTTAAAACTTACCCCTGCTCCGGTTCATAGCGCCTGCAATTAGTTTCCGAGTTGTTAAGACGGCATATTGTTTCCTGTGAATCACAAAAAATACACTTTAAAAGAGCTTTAGGCTAGGCTGCTTTTAGCTTACCTAGCTAGGCTAGGTTGTCTTTAGCTTGCCTAGCTAAGCTAGGCTGCTTTTAGCATAGCTACCAGTAATCGAACATATATTTACCGCTAGCGTGGCGTTGTGCACCCGTCTTCTCTTCCTCGAGTTCGTATATCCTGCAAAGTTGCTCGACTGCAGAGCCGCCATCTTGTCCTCTATGGACTACAACCTGGAGCGCATCGAATTCTCCAGCTGAGTGAGGCGTTCATTCATGTCGGCAGTATGTTGGGCAAGCTGACGAGACAGTCCGCTGATAGCAATCAGCAGTTTCTTCTCGTCAGTCTGCGGGCTGGCCGAAAGTTGTGGACTAAGAGCAGTTGGAGGCGAGTTGAACGCGAGACGTCGTGCAGCCATTGTTCACGTAACAACAAAATACAAACACAGTAAATGGAGATGAAGTTCTTCTAAGTGTAGTAACACAAACATGTCTGCTAATATGCTGGTCTCGCGAGAAGTCGTAGTGCACAAAAGCTCACACGTGATTGGACGATGGGGCCGAAGGCTCATCAGGCTCCTCCAATCACATACGACGTCATTGTTATACGGAAGGACTCGCGAGAAGAGCTCGCGTCGCTCCATTCTGGAAGGTGGCGGTAATGCACCTATAAATTGTTTGCAATTGCAATTGTTTGTCTCCATAAGATTGAATTTGAGCAGGTGGACATTAGAGATAATAAATGCAACAACAAGTTTTTGAATCAATATTCTATAAATAATATGTACCCAGGAAGAACAAAAAGCACAGCTCTCTAACAAAATTTTAAGAAATCTATGATAGTCAAAATTAGGACAAATTATTTGAAATTCCCAATTCCTCCTAAATATAAAGAATTACAATTTAAAATAATAAATAACATATATCCTTCAAATGAGTTTTTAAGAGAGAGATTTAAGTTTAATGTTGAGAATTGTGGCTTTTGTACAACTCAATTGGAAACAACTAAACATCTTTTTTATGAATGTAAAGAAGTATTAAACTTATGGGATCAACTTCGAACCTTTCTGTCTTCTAAAACAATAAATGTAGATTTTATTTCCTGGCAAAACATTCAATTCGGTTTATCCATTAAAGAAAAAAAATTTTGAATTTTTAATCAATATTCTAATAATTGTAACAAAGTATTATATCCATAAATGTCGCTATGCAAAATGCTCCCTCTCAATCTCTGCTCTCAAAAATGAACTTTCCCTTTTCAAAAGATGTCTGAGAAAGATGCAGAATTTAAATGCAATTAAATTGTTTGAGTTAATTGAAGAATTTCAGTTGGTAGTCCCCACTGATTAATTTACTTTAAACCCTATTATTATTTTTTTTATTTTTATTTATTTTATTTTATACTTTGTTCCAGCCTGTGCATTTAATTTTATTTTTCAAAAGCAGGAGTTGTGATATTTCTTCTTGTATTGAAATATTTGTTATTGACTTGTTGTTTGAGATTGTTATTGTTTTCTTATATATTCAATAACAAAAAAAAAAAAAAAGTGGAAATCTAAAAAAATTAACCATTACAGCCAACTGATTCTGATTAAAACTAATTTTTGAAGTAAATTATTTTGTGTATTTTCTTTTACATAACATTTGCATACACAGTAATCTAGCGTACTTTAATTAAATAAATCAATTCAAGCTAAAATGTAAGAGTCTATAATTAGGCTATACTGGGCCTGATCTATTTCTACCATCTATTTGGAGGATATTTATTGCCACACTTTGGGCCACTTAAAACCAATTTAGCATGCTGACCTATGACCTTATGACCACAGTGTACCAATCTTCTGATGGCTACTTCCAACAGGATAATGCGCCATGTTATAAAGTGAATCATCTCAGAATCATTTCTTGAAACTTTTCCACTTAAGTAATTGTGAATTGAGCATATTGACAGACAACATTTTATTTTTTATCTTAAATGCAAATTTAAAAAAAAATAATTACTGCTCTAAATGTATTGCTCTGTCAGCTAAAGATCTGTTTTGGTCTCTATACTTTAATTAAATAAATCAATTCAAGCTAAAATGTAAGAGGCTATACTGAGCCTGATCTCTTTGTATCAGAGATTTTCTTACCCAGAAAGATGTCACTTGGGGTAAAACCCCCCCTGCAACCGTGGTTTGCATTTGTATAGCTCACAGCATGTTCATTTACATGTTAAAGCCTCCCCTAGAATTCCATGGGGGGGAGGCATGGGGGGAACACTGCCTAAGAAATTCCACGTCAATTTCTGACAATTTACGGGAGTTTACGGCAAGGCCTGCAAATTGCCGTAAACTGCCGCTAACCTGAAGTTCCACGACAATCTACAGTGCCATATATTGACGAAAATCCCACTTTTCATGCAGTGTATGAATGAATAAATATATGAATGAATAAATATATGAATGAATAAATATATATATATGAATAAATATATATATATGTAAATTTATATGTAAATATATATATATGCCAACCAATCACGAGCGACTTTACTTGTTTAAAAAGAAGTGGTTCCGTCCAATACTCAGTAAGAAAATTAAAGCCTGGCGTGGCCACGTGTGGTTTTGCTGCCAATCACGAGCGATTTTACTTGTTTGAGAATAGTGGTTTCAGCCAATACTGAGAAGGTTATTCAAGCCAGACTTGGCCAGCCGCGCGGGTTCGCTGTATTCATATGCTAATTAGGGCCATTAGTACAGCTGATCGCTCTCCACATACGTCACGGTACGTTTCCGACAATTTGTGGCACGACAAACGCGGACAAGCACGGGTTGCAAATTGTCGGAAACTGACGAAAATCAGGCAGATCTGCGGGAGTTTACGGGGGTTTACGGGGACGAAAATCTCACTTTTCATGCAGTGCTTACTGTACTTAGTCTCTATATGTAGTGACTTTTCGTTTACTTTTTTGTGACCTTTCTAGCAACTCTTTTTCATGAAAGCAACTAGCAGAAAATCTAGCTGTTTTTTGTGTGCTTTTAAGGGATGACAGTGACAGGACTTTGATGACAGTGTGAAAGCGCTAATCACTCTGACTTTATTGTCTTCAGGGAGCAGTGAGGGCTGCTAAAACACCTCCCTTCTCCAAAGCACTTACTGGCAGTCAGACTCTGTAGCTAACTGCAGGCAAAATGAGTAAATGAGTAACGTGTGTATGGCTTCTCAGTTTTGTTCTGTGGTACCTCAAAACTAATTAACATCCCCAAAACATCCCTCCCTGCGTTTAATGCATACAGAGCCTCATCCACCGTGTGTGTCTCTAGTAACTGTCTTTAAGTTAGAATAGATAACATGACAAGGGTGATTGTATGTAGTTTCTGGTTCAGGTAGAACATTAATAAATACTTAAAATGATGTCATACAGTTAATTTTTAAGTTTTAAGAGTGTTTTAATCACAGTCTGTCTCGCTGATGTTGATATTCCTATGGGCTGAATCAAAGCCTTATAAACGATGATGTTATTTGGGGAATTCTAGGGACTTTTATTACAAAACTAGAATCTTTCCTTGGTGAATATGTGGCAACAGTGGGGGCTAACTAGTTCAGGAAGGTTGTTAAGTGGGGTGGTTGGCATTAGGTGTGCTGCGGTGCACTAAAGAGCTTGTGAGAGCTGACTGTTTACAGCCCAAACACAATGTAAAACCTGACTACCTCTATAAAAACCATCCCAAATCCCAACCTGACTTGAAAACCATCACAAGAATGATAAAAATACAAGTAATAAAATATCAAAGCCAAAAAACAAACAAAGCTAAAGTTAATTTCAATTTAGGAAAGAGCTGTTATCTCACTACCACTATCATTATGCATCTTTCCTCTAATTTTACCGCTTATAAAGAACAACATTTCAGTTAGATTCCTTGTTAATTTCACAAGAGAATGGCATCAGTATGGATAAACTTTAAATAACCAAATTTTGGCTTTAACTGAAATGATCTTATCCCCCCATGTTGAAAATGTTTCATTAGTTTGCTGTAATGTGTTAGTTTCAAATACATTTTTCTTTTGTTTTGTTTTAACTGTGCAGTTTTGCAGGAGTGCAGTACTCTCTTATGTATTCTTCTCTTCTGTAGTAGTTTTCTCTCTCATTCATCACTGCTTGATGGCCACAATTGGGCTTCATTTTGGTAATATAAACTCTCAATAGGTACCTGAGCTTTTCCTGATGATCTTTCAATATAGATTACATATAGGTTGTGATTTCAGCCTCTTAAACTAAGCAGTACTGATCTGGTGTCATTTACTGTGGTCTTCTGTTGCAGACAGACGCAAAGGCTCATGTGATCAGCCAAGACATCAGCTGCTTCCAGAGACAGATTAACCCTGGCGCTTTTCCCGGTACCTCTAATCCTGATTCCAGTACAAGCCTTGATTCCAATCACAGCATCGCATCCTCTACAATAAGCAGACAAGAAGATGAGATTCCAGAGAAAGGAAATAAAATGAAGGAAAAACAGATGAAAAACTCTCATGAATACAGCCAGGTATGTCCGTCCTGTTGTGGCGATCAGGGGCTGAGATCAAAACTTTAAGAAGTTACAATAACTTTAAGGCATAGAGAAAACAAACACATTCAACAAAATAATACTCTGATATTTGTCTTTTGTAGCATAAACACATAGAAAATGCACATAATTTCTCAATATTCTCTTTAGAACCATTTTAAATGGAAAGACTAACCTAAATGCTTGCAGATCTCTTTTCCTACAGCACAAATTCTGAATATGTTCACATGCCAAATATCATTTGTGACATAAAAACCTGAGTAATCATATGTAAAATGCCTTCATTTCAAGTTGTGCTATTCAAAAATACCTACCATTGCAGCATTCCACGTTTCACTTATTAGTTTATAGTTGGGGTTTTGAATAAATGAAGCTTCCATTCATGAATAGATACAGCATTAAAAAAAATAAAAGGAGTTGGCTGTGGGTAAAATTAAATTCCATTTGCAGTTCGCATGATGTGACGATGGACTATAAAGATATCAAACAAGCCTCTACATAGTGTGAGATCTACTCTCTGCACTCCACGAGTCAATTGAAAGAACTTCAAATACCCCCTAATTGACGCTATATCCACAGGCTGTTTCTATAGGCAAACTTGTGAACTGCATGTACCTCTGGACTGAAAGGGGTCCTCAGCAGTGCAGGTCTGTTAGGAACAGTTAGATTGACATTATTATACTCTTTGCACCACATAGCAAATTTGACCTCATTCTGACAGTAGTCTTTTCAAACAACTGAGGTCACAAGTTTCAGAGATATGCTGCTTCATCTCCATCTTGTGTACATCTAACAAACAAAACCGAATCATTATGCTTGTTTAATACAGAATTAAATATGATTCAATCAAGATACTAAGCTTGTGGGTAAAATATAGTACATCATTCTATAGTTCTTTACAGAGTATTTATATCTAATAATCGTGGCCCCATTTAGTCACATTACAAACACTAATCTTAATGACTAAATCATTTCTATTAGATCAGTATAAACTTGATTTTATAATTTTATTTATAAGTTGCTGAAAGAAACATTTTTTTTCTGCTTTACAATCCAGTTCCATTCTCAATATATTTGCCTGGATTACTAGATTTGGTCTGCACTCTCTCCCTTGAATATAGGATTAAATGCAGGTGTACTTTTCACCAATAAGCTGACTTTAGATGTTAATTGATTGCAGTTGATTTATTTAAGAATATCATAAATAAAAAAAAATGATTAGATAATAAGGTACTTTTTTAGATTTTCTTTTTTCCATCTGAGTTAAAGCAATAATACAAAAATGATGTTTCTTTCCCATTTAGCTACATTGTGCTACTTTATATTACTCTATCACATGAAGTCTGACTAAAATACGTGAAAATAACATTGCAAAATGGAAAAAGCTCAAAGGGTATGAATACTTTGGCAATGTACTGCATTTTTAATATATTCTTTTTCATCTTATATGGTCTCCATCAACTGAGGGGGTTGTTTACATTTTAATACAGTGCAGGTCAAATGATATAACAGGAAGTGTTCTAAATTAGTTTTTAAAAATTGTTTGACAATTTTCTTTTTATATACCTGTGGCCTAGGCAGCGAAACCACTGACCGATCCATCACTGTAGAACTTGGGTCTATGAGTTATGTAAAATTAAGAGTTTTAAACCAAACTGAGTTCCTTTTTTTATGGTGATTTCCAGAAGCAGGAAATTGCTGCCACTTTTTCATTTTCATTCCTCTAATTCTGTATGAACAGCATGCGGTGCTGTAAATTAATCATTGGTTCTACTTTTATTAACTTGATTCTGATAAAAGCCTTTTTTAACAAGTATTTATGGCTCCAAAATGAAAGATCCTCATCCCTTTAACATTATGAATGAACAGCAGCATAACAAATGTAGACAATTTAAACTGTAAAAGCTATGTTGTTTGTCCTTGTGTTTGGAATATGGTGGGTAGCTTTGTGCTTTTAGTGTTTGATCAGGAGGAATGTTCACTTTTAGTAATGAGAATATGTAGGGAGCTTGCATCACATTTTGGCCATCACATAAAAGCTCATGAAATATTCTTTTTGTTGTAGGTCCTGGTTGTGACACATGGAAAGGAAAAAGCAGCGGGGTTAATTAAAGATGATAACAGTGAACTGGCCAATTCCAGTTTTACAGGACAGTATAATGAGGAGGAGTCTGCAAGATCTTTTCAGGCGGCTGTCATGCAGTGGAGGAAAGAAAGGAGAGATGGAACAAGAAAGCTTGTTACAACTGATGCCCTGTGGACACCCTTTAAACCAGGTGAGCTATAGAAGTGGTTGTAGGCATAATACAATATATTATATTTTTATTTGATGTAACAACTGCAAACTGAGAAGTTTAGCATCCAGGATTTATTACACTACAGAGCCATGCTGCCCCAAAATAGGAAAAGCCTTATTGGACAAAAGCTTTGGATTTTATAGCATCATAATTTCCATCAAAAAATGTAGATAAAGAGACTTCCATGTTTTTATTAGACCTATAAAAGATGTGAATGTGCTGGTGATTCAAAAAGGCTTATTAAAGACAATTACTATTTTAGTTAAAAAAAAGTGATGTGCCATAAGTAAGTAGAAAGAAAATGACAGTACCAAAACAGAGGAAAATAAAAAAGAAAACATCCAGTTCTGACGAAAGTGATTTTGAAGTCATGAATGAAACAATCAGTGCTAAAAACTGGGTTTACAGAGTGGGGGTGCTTAGACACTAAGTGAGGGCGGCCAGATAGTTTTCACAATCATTGTGATGTGATTCCTGAGATGTATGGAGGGCCAAAATATATTAAAATACATGCATGTCGCATGAAAGGGTTAAAAATACCATTGAAATAAATAGATCAATTCATTATTGAATGACATTTGAAAAAATCCATGTATTTAAAAATTCATAGAATTCCTTCAGTCTATGAGTACAATTGAAAAAGGATATAATTGAATATTAAATTAAGTAATTTTATGTCCATCAGTGGGTTTAAAGATTTCATTATGATACGTTATCGAAGTTAGGGGGCCACTGTTTATCCTGTACACATATGTGTGTCACTCCATGGAACACTAACTCACCACTAAGCCAATCGTGTTGATCATTTTGCAGGTTCTGATTATAGATGCATGTTTAGCTTTTCTTTTTACTGTCTAAACCAGGCTTTTGAGACTGTGCTGAAAGACACTGCAAACTCTGTCTCTGGCACATACTGATTTGTCATCCTGGTGGAGTTGTACTGCCTGTGCAATCTCTGTAGGGTCCAGGTATTGTTTCATGTCACCATTAGTGACACTGACCCTGTTCGACACTGATTAACAACTCCATCTACTTCTTAACTAACAGATCAATCAGTTTGCCTAGACTTAATTGGACCCTCTTTCTTTATGCTCAATTTCGCACTGAAACCTAAATATTAAGGGATGAAGTTGAATGTTATTTAAAGCTGTTTCATCCACCATGATAAAAAAATATCAGTCACATCTGAAGAATAGTAAACAAATAGCATAATAATTACACAACCAAAGTTTATTTTGGAAATAAATTGTTCTGTAATTGGGTTTCTGATTAAAATAGTCTTCAATTTAAACCAACACAAAGTAGCTTTTCAACCTTCAGAAAATATTTTCATAACTTTTGTGATTATTCATCGACTAACAAGTAGCTGAATAACACCTCTGTCGTGACCCGAGGATGTCAGGTGAGAGTAACCCTGCTACACAAAACAACGATGGTGGCGTTGAGGAATATGTTACAAAACCAAAGTTAAATGTCTCTTATTTTATCTTTGTTGTGTTTTTTATTTTGTTTGTTTGAATCTTCAGTAACTTCTATAAGTCAAGTCTTTACAGTGGCTGTAGGACCGCAGTTGTCAGCAAAATCCCATTAAGCAGCTACAATTCATTACAATTGTACTATAAATGTGAAGAATAAATTGAGATCTGTTCAAACACAGTACTCTTGTATTCTTTTGAGAGCCATTGACTTCTGAAAGTGAACACATTGTATAACATTCTCATATCTTTCAAGTTATGAAGACTCAACAAAAGAATCAGTCTTTGCTTTGTTTCATATTTAAACCACAGGGAAATAAGAAATTACTGATTTGTGCCAACTCAAAAAGTTCTTTATTTGCATTTATCTTACTTTGTTTGGACTCTTGTTAATAATGCCACTTGGGATTTTGTTACAAAAGATAAACATAAAAAATAAATAAACCATTTCTAAAAAATTTGACCCCATCACACACAATCTGAATAAATGAGCTTAAATTTTCATTGTTTTTTCCTGAATATATCATTTTGAGATTTTGCTCCTTAATATACACTCACCAGCCACTTTATTAGGTACCCCATGCTAGTAACGGGTTGGACCCCCTTTTGCCTTCAGAACTGCCTCAATTCTTGGTGGCATAGATTCAACAAGGTGCTGGAAGCATTCCTCGGGGAGTTTGGTCCATATTGACATGATGGCATCACACAGTTGCCGCAGATTTATCGGCTGCACATCCATGATGCGAATCTCCCGTTCCACCACATCCCAAAGATGCTCTATTGGATTGAGATCTGGTGACTGTGGAGGCCATTTGAGTACAGTGAACTCATTGTCATGTTCAAGAAACCAGTCTGAGATGATTCCAGCTTTATGACATGGCGCATTATCCTGCTGAAAGTAGCCATCAGAAGTTGGGTACATTGTGGTCATAAAGGGATGGACATGGTCAGCAACAATACTCAGGTAGGCTGTGGCATTGCAACAATGCTTAATTGGTACCAAGGGGCCCAAAGAGTGCCAAGAAAATATTCCCCACACCATGACACCACCACAACCAGCCTGAACCGTTGATACAAGGCAGGATGGATCCATGCTTTCATGTTGTAGACACCAAATTCTAACCCTACCATCCGAATGTCGCAGCAGAAATCGAGACTCATCAGACCAGGCAACGTTTTTCCAATCTTCTATTGTCCAATTTCGATGAGCTTGTGCAAATTGTAGCCTCAGTTTCCTGTTCTTAGCTGAAAGGAGTGGCACCCGGTGTGGTCTTCTGCTGCTGTAGCCCATCTGCCTCAAAGTTCGAAGTACTGTGCGTTCAGAGATGCTCTTCTGCCCACCTTGGTTGTAACGGGTGGTTATTTGAGTCACTGTTGCCCTTCTATCAGCTCGAACCAGTCTGGCCATTCTCCTCTGACCTCTGGCATCAACAAGGCATTTCCGCCCACAGAACTGCCGCTCACTGGATGTTTTTTCTTTTTCGGACCATTCTCTGTAAACCCTAGAGATGGTTGTGCGTGAAAATCCCAGTAGATCAGCAGTTTCTGAAATACTCAGACCAGCCCTTCTGGCACCAACAATCATGCCACGTTCAAAGTCACTCAAATCACCTTTCTTCTCCATACTGATCCTCGGTTTGAACTGCAGGAGATTGTCTTGACCATGTCTACATGCCTAAATGCACTGAGTTGCCGCCATGTGATTGGCTGCTTAGAAATTAAGTGTTAACGAGCAGTTAGACAGGTGTACCTAATAAAGTGGCCGGTGAGTGTATAGTTACATATGTTACATTCTTTAATACAGCTACATTAGTAAATACCATAATTCCAGGAGGGGGCTGCATACAGTATAATAACGTTCTGCAAGTTACTCATTACATGTATATAAAAGTATATCTAAAGTATTTGAACTGTGTCATGTTAACAAGATGAATATTATCTCTCCTCTTAAGCCCCAAGGATGCAACATCCATTATTTAGGGAAAGAAATGCAGTTCATATTTTGATTCAGCTGGCCACAGGGCAGTTTTCCACTTTGCCTCAGTCCATCCTTAATGAGCTCGGTCCCAGAGGCTGTGATGTTTCCTGATATTTCCTGATTAATTATGAATGAGTAGGTATGTTGAGCAGGTACCTTTTATGGGAAAGAATACTTCTTTACTTTATTTGTAGAGTTTGTGAATTAAATTAATTCTCTTTCAGCTGAAGCAGTTATTACCTCCTCGGAAAACTATGTTTTTCAATTGAGGAATATAGGCTGTAGACGGATTCTTGTCATTTGAAGCACAGAAGTGAGAACGGCTGCCTCCTATTTTTATACATTGAATTTAAATTTTTAAAGCTTTGGTCCTCCAGTGATGTGAATTATCTCAAGTAAACACCCAGGTCTATAAGTAAATTGGAATTTAAATGTAGATTAATTGTGCAAATATATGTTTACATGTTGATGTTTTCACAACTGCAATGAAAAAAATATACTCTGTCTATAAAAATATTTTGGTCATCCATCTATCTCTTTCTTTTGCTTACATTTCTACCTAGCTTCTGTTTTTCCTCCCTTTCTACTTAGTATTTCATTCTCTCTTCCTGTTGATTTGATCAGTTATTAAATTAATGAATCCTCATAGAGATCAGACGGTTTAGGGCTGAGCATGGTTGTATAAAAGAGAATGGCTATTGCATTATAATGAAACTAAAATGAAATCATTAAGGACTGCACCTTATAGCAATGATTACCACTACTTAGTGTAAATCTATATTAGTGCATTTTTTTCACTTTTCATCCAGATTTAAGTGCATACTTTTTTATTTTAGATTGTTTTTGGGTGAACATCTGACTGGGTGTTTTTGCTTATCATTAGACCTTCTATTTTCTTCTGCTTTACTGCTTGGACAAATTCAGCTCCTGTCTATTCACTCTGCTCTGCAAATTGCTGCTAGCCCCTCCAGTGCTAATTATTTCTGCAAGGCCAATGGACACAAGGCCCAATTTAAAGCTGCTACCGTGAACATCCAGCATGTCTACAGAACAATCATAAAATGTTCTTCACTTCTTTCCTTTTTTTTATATTGTTTGAAGTCCTGTCTTCTTTTTGTGAGGTTAGCTTTTGTCTTTCATTGTTTTGGCACTTTTGCCATGGTGGTGAGGTGTTTTCTCACTTGTTAAAGAAAGGTGTCTTCAAAAGGCTGTTCATAATGTTTTCCGGCCATATCCTCTGTCTTTGACTCACTGTTATTTTACTTTGGGCTTTTGCTTTCCTACATTTATATCACTTCTTTTTTTTTTTTTTTTTTTTGCAATATCCCTCTCTCCATATTTTCCCAGCATTAGTGTCAGCAACGTCAACCCAGACTGACCTCCCTTCAGACAAAGAAGCTGAAGGACAGAAAAGGGAAGGAGCAGAAGGAAAGCTCATTGTCAAACTGGAGTTTTCAAAAAATAGCCTTACCCACATGGAAAGACTGCTTCTCAAGAAGCACCGCAGGTACAGCTAATAATACATATGCAAAGCACACAAACCATTTAAATAAGACCACCTATTTTTGCCACAAGTAAAATTTTCTTTTTTTCTTTTTTTATTTTACTGTATATGTAGTTATGTATCAGATTTATATATTTAGGATACCTTTCAATAGATCTGCTTATGAGCAACATGTTTATACAGCACAGTTAATTAGCTTTTTGCTGCCCTTTATGCCGGCACCCTACATAAATTTTAGTGTCAAAATGGCTTAATCTAAATTAGGTTGGTTTGACATATCGATGCATAATACGACAAAATGTGATTTCGACAATTTGTCATTTCGGGTAATAACATTTTACACAAGTGCTTCTTTTCCAGCAACACATTCTCTGTCACTTACATTGACCATGAACACGGCAAAACAACTTGTACACATATTTATTTTCCTATCTCAGGCTTTTTAACATGGCACATGCCTCACCTGCATCTTCATAGTGAGCACTTATAAGGCACTAGTGAACAAAGCAATTTCTTTGTACCGATTGTGCAGTTCACTGTCTGCAGGTTGTGCTTCTGCAGGTCCTGTTATTATAACTTTTATTTAAGCAGTTTTTTGGGGCCTTACTAGTCAGCTTGTGAGCAGGTCAGGAGGAAAGAGAGCTGAGTGGAGTTCTGTGCGTTCTCTCTGCTGGAGCAGGAATGCCCTACATCCCAAACTGTAGCAGCCTTTAACTCTGGGATAGACTAGAGAGCCAATCTGGAGTGCAATAACCCTGAAGCAGGGATGGTAGCAGAGCTTAATGGAGAGACAGAGAGTCTTACCGGCTGGAGGGGAGAAAAAAGGAGAGGTTGAATTTTAACAAGCTTTAATAATAATGGGAAAAGGAGGGGGTAGAGAGCAGGAGAGAGCTTTAAAGAATTGGCTAAAAGTGCTCAGCTATATTAGAGTCGTAAAGTCTATCACCTTAGTAGATTTGTGCACGGCCTGCAGGTTATAGAAAGCAGGCTTTTGACTGCGCTGACTGAGCTGTGTTGCTGGGATAAGTGAGTGCATATTCCTCCTCCAAGAGCCAGACTTTTTTGCAGGTTGTGACCAATAAACTCTAGATTGAAAACCCACATAGTGATATTCCTCTGCTTTTTAAAAACAATTTTAGCATACTGTAAGATTTGGTTTAGCTTATTTTAGAAAAGGAAATGTTTTATTCAAGTGCTTTACCCCTGACAGCACAGTACACATGCATGACATTTGCTTAGTTATAAAGTAATATTTTTATCAGCAAAGCTTGAAAACTGCTTAAACATTTATAGCAAAAACATGGAGTTATTCTGCTATTAATACAGACCAATTAGATTTTTTTAAAGAAACTGTTTCTTGCTGAAGTGGCGTTTCTAGCTTTTTTATAGAACTATTGTATAATTTTTTATTATAATTAATTATTTTGTATTATAAAAAAAATATATAAAAAAAAAAAAAAAAAAAAGAACTATTGTATTATTTATATGAGAGGTATCTCTTCCCACACCATCAAAGTTGAGTTTTAGTAAATAAAGAGTAATTAAAACAAAAAAAATCAATTAACAGTGTACTTGTTTGCATCATCTTCTTGAACTTTGTTATTTTCAGAAAAGGTGGCTTATCTGTTCAATAACCTAGCATTAGCAGTAAATATGCAAATTACAAAAATTAGATATAATTATTGTAAAAGGGGTGCGTTTCTTCTTATATAGTTATTATTCTTATTGCTATGATTGCTGGCTTCATTTTGTTACCATAAATACAGCTACCACTTTCTCTTAATTTCCTTTTTGCACTCGGGTCTGTCCTTTCTTTAAACGTTAAAGATTATTTTATTTTTAGATGCTTTGTATAAATTTGTTAGGTCAACTTTTGTTGTTTGTTTTTGTTCATTATTTAATGTCACCAAAGTGGCTTCCAGTGGCTAACTCCTTTCTTCCATCCCTGAGTCCATTTGAACTAAGCTACTGTAGACCAAGACATGTTGTTGGACTTGGGCTGTAAATCTGTGATATTCATGACAGCTAATAAAACACCTGGAATCATAAGTTAATTTAGTTTTTTGTAGCTGGTAGGTTGCATCATGGTTTGACATAAATGGTGCTGTGAGGTTTTTCAGGTGAGAAGCTGAGTGCTGCTTGCATTACTTTCATCAACAAGACTCGTGTTTATCATAGATCTATTATCTTAGATACTGTCCTGTTCATTTGTCCCTGTAAACAAGGAAAGGGACAGAAAGCTTACATTACATATACAGTAATCTGCCTTTATTTGATGTAATCTTCTGATCAGATTTTTGTTTCCAGGACTCCATTTGAAAGTCCTCGATCACAGGATTTTGGCATGGATTTAAAACCACTACCTTCCATAGACACTGAGGAAGAGATGGCAACACACCTAACTGGTAATACTGAAGCACATGCATACACTAGCATCCATCATTCTCTTTTTCATGGATATTTCTTTTACAATAAGGGAAAAAAACAACAAAAAGATCTTGATGCTTTAGCTGCACATCTAACCTGGTGTTTGAGACAATGAGAGCAAACTAGCAAACCTCTCTTCAACAGAGTAGCTATCTTGCACAATCCCACATCCTCCTCACATATCACATTCAGATATACAAACAACCAATTGGAAAATGTCTTTCTCTCAGCGGGTTAGATGTCCTTGCTCATCCATCCATAGCAATGTGACAGGTAATCACTGGCTGTGATTGCGCAGGTAGAGGGCTGTTAAAGGTGGCTCAAACATTGACAGAGTAACGGATAGGGCATGGAAGGAGAGATGGGGTTCAGTCTGTACTCTGCAGCTCACTGTCTGCCTCTCATCAGTCAGTGGAGTGTTCTGATTTCTAACTACAACTAAGGGGTAAAAGAGATGTAGCCCTGCAATAAATCCACCTTTCAGAAGCTCCAGATCCATTTTCTACTTCATGAAATAAGACAAACTCTTTGGAGTAGTTTTTGAGAACTACTCGTAAGAGCTGCTCCAAAATCCAACTACCTGTGTTTATCAGTCTTTGAATTGTCTGAGATCAAAACTATTTACTAGAAATGCACTCACTCAAGAACAACATCCATTAAACGGATTTGATTCTTAAAGATATCGATAGCTTTTTGTCTTGGCTTTGATCCAGTCTGTGTATTTCAAACATTTGTCTTTTTTTCAACTGTTTTGTTGACTAAATCAGTAGTCCTGTTCACAAACAGTAACATGTATAACGTAGTGGCCTCTTAGGGGTAAATTCCCCAAATGATCCTAGACACACATGTATACACATAGACCTACACACACTCATATCTTTGTGAACTGTTGCCAGAGGTAGGTGGCCACGTTTTTTTTCAAGAATTTACAGCAGTTTCTTTCTTTTTGATATTTCAAACATTAAAAGACAGTTGACCCAGATCTAGCCTCTGTTTTTCTTCATGCGTCACATTGAGTAAACACAACATAAAGTCAAAGGTTGAACCAGTTACATTAGTTGGACATGTCTCCACATGGGTCTGTCAGCAACAGAGCAAGAGTTTCAGAGAACGGGTTTCACCCCACATGTAGAGAGTAAACAGCTTCTATTATTTATTGACACACTCGTTTCTCTCCCTTTCATATTTAAAAATACATGAGGGGGGTGGGGGGAGGGCTATGCAACCTGTTGTAAAGCTCATGAATTAGAATAAAGGTTTGAGGCAGGTGGTAGGAATAGGTTATTAAGCTCTGAACAGCTCTACATTTCCCAAAGACACTTCTGTTTTTGTCTTCTCTGCATACAGTTACAAGAAAGACTCATCAATTATTAAATTCTGAGTGGAGGAATCAAAGTTACGATGGGGGTTGCTTTTTTTGTAAACAAGTTGTTAAAAAAAGTTAGAGCATAATAAAGACTTGAATGTGGATGGTTCACTTGAAAAAAGGTTTAGGATACCATCGTAAAAGGTTAAAAGACGACCCCCCCTGTTGTGTTTTTATTGTTACCTTTTCCTCTGCCATGTAACAGTGGTAACCTGCTTTGGAGCATTTTAGGTATACACATTAGAGATGAAGAATATGAAACTAATTTATTTGTGACTGTTTATGACTGTCCAGAGAAAAAAACTGAGAAAAAAACCCTGTTTTTCTACCTAAAAGCAGTCAGGTTAACAGTGTTGCATACACTTTGGAAATATATATGCCAAAAAATTAAAAATGAATTTATGTATTTGTCCATTTCCACTGGAAATTGATAATTCTTATAATTATAAAGATAATTCTTGTCCTAGTGAGAAAACCTGCCTTGTCATGTATCAGGATGTAAAAGCACAGAGCCCTGTGCCAATATCTAAGCATTAGAGTCTAAAACAGAGCACAGACATTAAAACAGCAATTTTCTTAGATCTTAAACAGTGGATATCTGGAGTGTTGAGGGAATAATATTTCCAGTAACAAAATCTTAGAAACAGCTACGTTTCAATAATTTGGCAGTGTTGTATATAAGCAGAGTCCTTCCCACTTGCCCTTTTTATTGTTTTTGGTTGCAAAATATACAAACTAATATATAATATAATATACAAATATACTAATATACAAACTCTTACCATTTTACATTAACATATTGAGTAAGGAACCATGCATTTATCTACTCAGAACAGAGAAGAGTAGCTTTGTAGTATAACTTTAAAGTGATCCTCAAAATTAATATCAGCTAAGATGAAAGTATGATTTTTTTTATATTTGTATCAAATTGCATATAATTTTTTTGTTATATTTCACAATTTGGAGCCCGGCTCCTCTCTCTGCTGTATTGTAGGTTCTTGATCAGTGGAGCCATCTTCCAATTACAATCAAATAATAGGTTCCATTAGAGAAAACAGGTTGATGAGGAAGCAATTTTGTTACTTACCCATTTCAAAGTTGAAATAGCTAAAAAGTCATTCTAGCGAGAAAAAAAAGGAAAAAGTGAAAAACATTCTATGAAGACTAACCGAGTAAAAATGTTGAGAGTAAACCTGCCATGTTGAGGTTAATGAATAGCCATTAAATCAAAGCATGCTGATTAAAGCATTTCCCATTAAACATTTTCTTCACCGCTTCATTCTTGACATTTTAACTGTAGTCACAAAACTGTATTTAGGTACTGTCAATATTTCTGTTAACATTTAAACTTTATACTTAAAAATCTCATTTCCAAATGACTCCTTAAGATAACATTCGTTAATGAAAAATGAAAAATACAGCAGTGAAAAAGCAAAAGTAAAAACACAACCCAAAGCATCCTCCACTCATCCTCCTCTTCTTCCTATATTAACAGAAAGAACAAACCAATACACCCAAAGTCACTCTACTTAGTTTTGTCTTAATAGTTAATTTTTTTATTATTCATATAGTTAAACTTTTTTTTAAGTGAGACAAATTTGCTGCAAATCAGTGTGATATATACAGAGTGAATTGAATTAAACCATGAAAAACTGGTCTTGTGCTTAACCCATTTTTAATTTCACAGCAATGTGCATTTGTTCAACTCGAATGTAAAAAATGCCCCATATCTCAATTTTCAAGCCTCGTTAATTATATTTTTATTTTTTATTTTTATATTTACAGCTGAAGAGGAGGATTTTCGTCAGTATTGCTCATCATTGTTCAGTGTCCCAGTCAGCAAGGAAATGGCTGGACCACAGGTCTCCACATCTGGGTTGTCTCTTGTCATAGAAGACTTGGATGATGTAACAGTTACTTGACATGATAACTTAAGAAGGATATTCACAAATTTACCCAGAGGGTCACAATATGACATTATCTTCTTTATTGTGTCTCTTTTTCTGCACAGATATGCAGAGATATGATGGTCTCTTTTGCTGAACAGAAGTTGGATAACAACAGAATGTATGTCTTTGTTTAAAAAAATAAACTCTTAACTGTGAGATAATAGCCAGAGATAGAAGCTCCCTAATTAAATAGAGAACACATGTTTTTAGCAGCACATAGAGCACACTGTTTCACTAACATAAAAGCAAAAGATGTGTGTGAACCTAAATGTTTTTAGAGTTTGAAGTGCCTCTCATGACAAGTCACGAGTAGCTGGTAACGAAACCAATGTACAACAGATGTTCTCTTGATTGAAAATACATGTTTTTTCTTTAAGACAAGAGAGATGAAGGTAATTACTGTCTGTTCTCCCTTAGTGCAATTCACATTCAGATGAATAAAATGTGCTGTTGTAGAAGCTGGAGTCAGTTGTTAAGGGATTTGGGATAGGTTTTGTTACATTGCAAGTCTGATTTAGCATCCAACGAGTTATGCTGAAGAAAAAAAAGGCATTTAATGTCCCATGTGGCCACCAATTGGCAGATGTGAACTAAGAAATGCTTATTTTTTCTGAGTTTCAGCTGTTTAACAAATCTCCAGGAAGAACCTGAGTTAAAGTCTTAAAAAGCCCTGTTTGTTCATAGGGTTTCAGAAGCTGATGACTCCTCTCTCCATCCAGCCCAACCATCCATCACAGCGGCTCAACCCAAAACAGGCAAGAAGCCATTTTACAATGATGATCAGAACTCCAGAACTGACTACACAATGAAATTATGCAGTGCTCTACTAATAACTGGAGATAGATTTTTTGTCTTTTGACATTGTTGTTCATCATATGCAGAAAACCTAATCTGATACCTTTTTGAGATCATTAAATAGTTATATATTTTTTAATGAAGTGTGTTTCCAATTCAGCCTCTAGCATTGTTTTTGCAAAAACTGTCATATAATTGTTTTATTTCTCTGTTTACAGCTTCTGTGTGTACAACATCTGCTCAGGAGGCTGCCAGAACATCAAAGAAATCAGCCAAGTCGCCATTTTCCAACTATGGATCACCACAGTTCTCCTCATCCTCACCAGATTCCCCATTCAGTACTCCCATGCCCCCCCTGCCTCCTGTTTTAACTTCAACAGACGTATCAGTTGTGGATGGCCCGGCGTCAGTCATCCCAGAGGAGCATCTTTTCTCCTCTTCATCAACTCCTTTTTCTCTGAGGTCTACGTTCAGTGTCTCTCCATCAGACTCTGCTCAGCAACTCTTATTGCCAAAGTTTTACCACTCAACCCCACAACAACAAGGTACAGAAAAAACAATCCTCCCAGTTATTTGCAGAAACAATCTCATCTCTGAACCCTTATGAAACACCAAGAGGCAATCTAATCTCCCCTTAGCAATTCCAGCTTTCCTGCAGTGACCCAGATAGTCTTCTATTAGGCAATCAACTCACACTCTCTTTATCAACTGATACTGTAAGACCACTGCTAACATCAAAGGCCTTGGAGACAATTATTTCAACATCAATGCAGGTGCCGAACAATAGTCCTCCATTTCTTCCATAAAGCAACACTAAACAATGAAGAGTCTGAACTTTTAATGTTTTAAGTGACCACATATCAACTCCATCATCTAAAAAAAGAGCACCGTAGCTCATCATAACACTCCTGAAATTTCACTGATGATTCTGTAGAAGTAGGGAAGGCTTCAGAATATAAACGGCGCACAACAATTGTATTTTTAGCCTATGTTAGCACATTTATCTGTAGTATATCTGATCATGTCTGTTTGCAAGTGTGTAGAGCCTTTTACACAGCTTCCATGTAATTTTTACTTGTAAAAATCGGAGAGACATGATTTCTTTGTTTTTTACTTCACCATTGGACCCTGTCGAGCCTATTACTTAAACTGCCATTAGAAATATGGTAGAAAGTGTGTTGGTACTGTGAAAAAATATTATAGTTTATAGAGTTTAAATGCTTTTGCAACTTAATATATGCTGACCACCAGCTGGTATCCTTACCTTACCTTACCTGCATCAGAGGACAAACTGTTTTTAGACTCTGAAATTCTGCAAGGATAATTGGAAAAAATGAATTAAAATAGTTTCATGCAACTTGAATATGAAGCTTAGATTATTTTACAGGCCTTTCTTTAAAAAGAATATTCTTACAATATTTCACTATTGAGGAACTATCTTTCACCACAGGCCACAACTCCCCCCTCCCAGCCTTCCAGCTTTGCTGACAATAAAGATAAAAATCATCACTGTAGATAGACTTTGTGAGAAATAACTATATAGATAGAGTCTGATGCAATATAAATGATAAGATATGGTTTATAAAAAGACTTCCCTTAACTTTCCTGGTGTTTCACATCGAATACTTCTATCTTGCAGTTTTTAAATGACAAAACAGGAGAGCAGAAAAATATTCTGTATTTAAGGATGATAGATTACAGTTTTTTGCAGCAAATAAATCTCAAAAGGATAACAGTTTCATGGCACTGCTTAAACACGGTTAACAGGGAACAGCTTGTACATATCACAGTGAGAGTTCCTTTTACTCCCTGGGGCTGTCAAAGCAAATTTAGATCTATCTATAAAAATGTTGTTTTAATTTCCTTTTTTGTTTATTAAAACTGATTTACATTTGTTTTTCATTGTACATCCCACATAAACCTGTAACAAACAGAAAGGTAATTGCCCTCTAAATAACGGTCCTAAAGTAATACAAACACAATAAACAGTCATGTTTATTTCTTTGTCACCACTGCAACACTACATAATCCTTTACTAGTATTGTAGGTGTTATATCAACACAGGGCAGTGAGTTCCTAATCTTAATCTAAAGACCACTCTGTTTACATTTCTAAAATCTACAGGAATAAAGTCATTTACCATGTTTACAAGAAGTATAATTGATGGTTGTTTTTTCAGATTTAGTTTCCGATCTCAATAAAGAAGAAACCAAATCTCTAATGCAAAAATTTTCATGCACTAAAGAAGTTATCCAATGTCATAATGATGCATATTGTGAGACTGGACCTCTGTTCAGCATATCATTTTAAAGAAATTATTAGGAGATCCCAGAACAGGAGAAAAAGCAGAGTTAGAATTCAATCAATTCTGTACATTCTTAGAAATTAGAAACTTATTTAACTGTTTACCACTTATATAGGAACAAGAAATGTCTGCTGCAGTTGTGACAACTGAAAGGGTTGATTCTTTCACAACTTTCTCAAAATAGCTCGACTTTATCTCACTTCCATCCCCTTATTTTACATGTCCACCGATATTTCTCTGTTCATCCATCATCTCTATGCTCTCCTTCATCTTTTTCATCATTCATTTCCACTACATCTTTCAGCTCTTTGACCAGAGAGACACTGAATGCCAACTTTATCAGCTTATTGGAGCTTTAAAGTGTCAAGGACACTTACATCATACATTACCATTTTCTTGAATACTTGATATAAAAATGTTTTCTTCTTCTTTGGTTCAAGACATGAAAAACAAGGACAGTCCATTTTGCTGGTCACCTTGAAACTTTAGCATGTTTCAAGCCGTAGAAAAAGAAATGTGTAATGTTTGTTTGCCTTTTTTGCTTCAAATCATAAGTAACTTTTATTCTATTTTTGGTGTTCTTTTAAAGACAGCAAGCATGAGATGAGGAGGGGAGGTCTTAGCCTGATGTGTGAAGAAGATTCCTGCAGAGAGAAAGCTCCGACTCATCTACCAAGCCAGAAATTAAGAGAAATGAACGATCAGGAAATGTGTCACCCAGATGATTCATTTCGACCTGCAAAGGAAACAAAAGAAAAAGATTTGGAAAATATAGACAAAGAACAGCAGCAAGAACCACAGATGGTAAAATTTTAATGACTTTTTTTTTTATTTCCATGCTAAATAGAGACAATGGATGGATGGATGGATGGATGGATGGATGGATGGATGGATGGATGGATGGATGGATGGATGGATGGATGGATGGATGGATGGATGGATGGATGGATGGATGGATGGATGGAGAAAAATTATAGCCAAATCTGTAAATTAACACATCAGGGTATATTTAAATAGGTTTAGAACCACAATTATTTCAGCTTAAAATCCTTGACAAAGGGCAGCTACACTTTCTTTTTTTATCATTATAACCATAGGTCTGGAAGAAACATTGTCAACTTCAGAGGTTGCCACACCTTCATTTTCAAACAATTATAAAAACCCTTTTTAGTGGTATCTTAAATCAGATATTCTTGAGAGAATAAAATCATTAAAACAAAAGTTTTAGTGTCTCAGCTCATTGTTAGAAAAGCAAGGGAGCAAATCATTTATTTTTCGACAAACGCATATTACAACATACATAACAAAAATATTCTGCGCTAAATCCTCTGCCAAAAGGATTTTGTTACTCAGGTTTTAACCTTTTTTGCTACACTCATTATCTGCTATATTCATCATCCTGCAGTATCAAAGGCTAATTGATGAGCTAGTCTCAATGCATAATTCACAAAATAAGCGTTTTTTTTTAACACTGTGGTCCTGGTCGCTGTAGAAACAGCATATAGCAGAGGAGAGTCAGCAAACCTGGGTAATACCCACAGCGCAATTAAGGGTTATGGAAGCAACACTGTAGTCAAAATCTAAGGTGACACCATGGATGGTGGATGGTGTATAGACTTGTGATGCAGATTAAAGGGTGGGTGATATTTATTTTTGGTGTGCTTCAAGAATCAGAATCAGAAAATGATTTATTGAAGAAATTTGTTTTGGTGATGAGGTGGTACACATGGACGAGTAAAAAAAAATACAGCTGACATAAATAAATCTAGGAATATCAAATTAGTTAAAAACTTTCATATTACTTTTTCTTTGTTACCGTGACATTAGTGTCCTTTGTCGGAAATGCTTTTGACAGTTAAATTCCTAGGTCACTTTAATGACTTATGGCTCATGACACATGTATTTTAAAGGTGTCCTTTGATTTGGCTCGTTGTAATTTTTGTTTTCAGCAAATTATGCTTGTTGCTGGAACAGCGATATTGTGCTAATATAAAAAAAAGAGCCCTCTGAATTTGATCCTATCAATTTTTTTATTAAACTTACTACATGTTTTAAATATGCTTGTTCTTGTTTCCATGCTTGAGTGCAATCAAATCATATAAATCTTTTGATCTAGGTTAGTCAATTAATATCGACGGGAGTTTTTGATGTCTGGATGTTGTTTTCATTATGTAAATATTCTGTAAATAAATAAGATGATTTGCAACACTTTAAAGTTCCCTTCAGATATGTGTTAGGTGCTGTCATAGAAGAAAGATGAAAATGTTCTAGAAGTTTATTACATTGGATTTAATCACCGCTTGAAAAAAAAAAAAGATTTCAGTGACCCACATTTTCTTAAGTTACTATAAAACAATATCCGTATCAAACTAATTACTCTACATCATTTATCTATAGCTCAGGGTAACATTAATCTGCGGTGTAAAGGTGAAACCCACTGACAAAAGAAAGCAGAAACAGAGTGGATTAAAACGGAACTATCTGAACGGTCTCAAATGAGTAATCTACCATTAAATGGCACAAGTCCGTTGTACTTTGGCAGAGGAATGAAAAGAAAAAAGAGGTGCAGACAGTGCTTTATTAAAAAAGCTTGAATAATGATGTTCACGATTGTAGAGATGGTAGTTATCTGGACCCTCCGGACCCAAATCAAACTGCTCCTGGTATGATTAGATAGTATTTTCTTTTCTAATTCTCTCCCTCTCTCTCTTTGCACAAGGCTTTTTCTGGTCTCCTATCCTGTTCATTTCTTGTACTTTCTCTTTCCCTCGTGTGTCTTTTAATAATCTTTTGTTCCTTTTGGTTTTTTTTTTTTTGCATTTGCAGTCCATGTAAGGTGTCCAGTCATCATTAGAACATAATATATTAGTCTGCATTAAAAAAATATAATTCATTTCACGTTGTGCAGTATCACTGTTGGTCTCCTGCTAGTTCATTGAATATCTTTTACCCTGCTTTCCTAATTTCTTTCCTCATTCCTGCTCCTACCTTGCTCAAAGCATTGCTATTCCCACTTGCCTTTCTCCCTACATTCTCCCAGCCCATCTGCAGTGTCATGCAAGGCTAGCATGCTAATGTATCAGATCTAATCTTAACTAAACAGAGCTTGCTCACTATTCTCCTGTCCCACAGGAGGACACTTGCATGGGAGGAACGGCAAACACACAATTGTGAGATGTTCTTGTCAGCTCCAGGGGTTAATTAAAAATCAATTCATCAAGTGGAAACAAAGGAAACAGGGAGAGAGGGGAATAATCTTCATTAAAAGACTTTGTCTTATTAATATGTATTTATACGCTCAACATTGAAAAATACCAATTCACCATAGTTACTTGGGTTCATAAAAGTTACAATGAAATTTTATTTTAGCCTCAATTACTGACAGGGAAAAGAAAATGAGTTTTAAGACAGGCTATTAATTTTACTGTGCTGGTTATTCTTGTTGTTTTTTTGCTTTATTTTCATGTTTTGTTTTATTACTGTTATGCCATCATTGTTTTAATAAGTTCCAACATCAATTTAATTGCTTTCTTCTTTTTCTTGCTCTCCTTTATCTTCACTTTCTCATTCCAACACCAAATGTTTTTCCTCTGTTCATTTTTTATGTCTGCCATCTATTTCTGGCCTCCATTCTTCTCTCTCCCTCCATCTGTTCCCATATCCCCTTAGGTGATGCGAAACCAGACTGCTGAGTTTGGATCTGAGCAGCTCTGTGATCTGGATGGGTTTTCGCCTTTAGGTTTTGACATGGATACCAGTCGCCCTGACTCACCAAAGCAGACACTCTGTGACGAACTTCACACATGCCAATTTCTAGAGCGTGACTCGGACCCAACAGGTTGGTTAAAAAGCGGAACGTGTTTTGATATGTATAGGGTTGTTTTTGAATATTAATGCCTATCTTTCAGAGGATTTCATCAATCTGGATCGTGTTTTTCTGTAAGATGCATCAGGAAGTGTCACTGCTGTTTTTGTGTGCTGAGAGAGATTAGATTGTAAAGATTACCTCTGTGTCCAACTTTTGCCTGAAGATGCTTTCCAATTTGAAAGCATTATTCATATCACAAAGGCCTCATAAAGGGATTTTCAACAAATATGTAAAAAATGTTGAGCTTACAAGAGACATGGAAATGAGTTTTAAACCCAAAGGAGTTTTGGATGCTTGGCGAAACAAGAGAGATGGGAAGTAGGGGACAAAAGACAATTTACTTCTCACTGGTCCAAGGGGAGCTTTTCTCAGATGTGCTTTTTTATGTATGTGTATGGTTTCCTGCTAGGGCTTCTGACTCACTCTGCTTGTTTTTACCTGTATTCTACCACTTCAGTTCTTGTTGAAACAGAACTACACTGACCTAAACCCAAGCCTTATCACTTAACCTCACCCCTGAACCCCTGCTGACACTGAATACTTATTGTCTATCAGAATAACTCATACAGAGATGACACATCTCTTCCTTCTTGTATCTCTCGTAGCTGCAAAAGTAAATAATAAAAACTGTGTCCTTCATTTAAATCAATAGCACACATTCCTCTTTTCTATACACAATAGATTTAGTTACCATCTAGTTTAAACATTTGTTCAGTTTTCTTTTAAGTATTTTTTATTCACAGTACTTAATGGTTCTGTGAATAAGCTTTTATAAAATAAATTGCTTATAGACAACTGTTGTCTGTTGGCCATATGGTTAATTAGCTGTTAAAACGGAAAGATGTTATTTTGGTTTCCTACAGGCAGTCAAATTATCTTTCCTTCTGCTTCTAAATTATCCTGTCAAATAACACTGGAAAAGGGAACCTTTTAGATGGAGAAAGTTTCATCCTTATCAGAAATTTAACAGATGTTTTTTTCCCTTATTTTTACATTTGTGAGCTGTGAACAAAAATCCGTTTTAAGAGGTTGTCATGAACTCTGAACATTTTTAGTTGAAGAGGACACTCATAATACATACCTTGTAGGCATTTCTCAAGTTTTCCATTCAAGCCATTGAACAGATGGACGAACAACACGAGGTGACAGCGCATTGACATTCAAAGCACTGCAGTATATGAAAACTGAGTTGTCTTATTAACAACAAATATTGTACAGATGTAATAAAAAAACATTAAACGGGGCAGTTTTTGAAAAAACTATAATGATTATGAAATTACCCCTTGTGTTCTTTAGAATTCTTAATGCTATACAGAAAACATAGATTAGAAAAAGGAATACAGATGTTACATGAACATCTCAATAAATCAGTATCATTTAAAGTGTTTTTTTCCTAATTTAATTCTGAAAAATTAATCATGTTGTTTGATTATCCAGTTAATTTTTTGACTGTGTTCACCTAAGGGATTTATATAAACAGAGTGATCAAATAGATCAGATAGATTAAATATAGCCCTGTTTTTCACCAAAAGCCCTGGAAGTTAAATCTCTAGGATTTGTTTTCTCTGTTAATATGAATCCCTCGGAATTTATCTGGCTGCATTTCCCATTACCCTATGACATTGATTTAATTCAGGCTAAGAACTTTAGTCCAATGGGTGGCTGTAATAAGCTGTTGAAAATTGTACTTATCAAAGAGGCATTACTGAGATTTCTCATAATACTGCCACCTGTAGCCAAAAAACAGAACTGCACCACTCATCTTGTTATTCTTATAAGTGCTCTTAACAAGATTTTTTAAAACGTTTTTCCTCTTAGGTGGACTTGTCTTTGGTTTCTTAGTTGAGCTGGATGCCATTTGCTTCTGAGTATCCACAAAATCCAACTTGAATATAACGCTTTGATTGTTTGCTAGGTCGGACCCATTTTAAATGGGAAGCTTTGTTTCACATCTGCCAAAGAGCGTGGGGACTTCTGACCCGAAGTAAATTAAGGAGAATAGGCTTATAGGTGCATTTACACTGAACTACTGAGGTGTCAGTCTTTTCATCTAATGAAGCCTCATGCTAAAAATATATTCAAACTTATTTTTATGGCAAGTTAGAGGTATACAAAACATTTTTGCAGTTATCCTCATCTGTTATTACTGCTGCTGGTAGAGTAACACTGCAGGGTATACTGCTGTACAAGATTCCACCAGTTTAACAAGCCCCAGGAAAGATGCAAAGTACTAGGGCTGTGGTGGAACCAAGGCCAAGGAAAGTAAAGCCCTGGGAGTGAATTTACCCAGGTTAATGTGTATGGAAACACCACCAGGGCTTTAAAAAGCTCTAGGCTTCTGAAAAAAGCTGGGTCTTTTTAGAGTTTTTTTTTTTTTTTTTAAGTTTTCAGAGGGCTGTGTCCAACCATCTTGCATAGATATTTAGTGAAGAAAGGGGATGTGGTAGAAAACAATGAACACATCAGGGATGGTTACAGTCCTAACAGGATTATGAAGCTAAATCCATTTAAGCATCATTCAAAAGGTCTGGACTACTGATTTTGTCTTACCCAAGCCATGATGAATGAGAATTTCTTGCTAAGTTAGCCATGGGTAATGCATGTACAGCAATATAAATATATGATATATCTTATTGTTTTTGCTTCTTGTTTTTACTTTTAACAGTTCAGTATCAAACAAATTCTAATATGAGACAAATATACATAAGTAAACCCAGTTTTAATATATTCAGAGGGAAAAACTGTAATATAAACCATGCCACCTGTTGTCCTCTTTGTTTTTTTAATTAATTAACTGTGATTAATTTTTTTATTTTCTGGTTTCACTTGGTGTACCCAAACTGGGATTACCATGTAACCAGTAGAATTATGAAAATACTAAGCTTGATAACATAAAATAGGTGATACATCTCAAAAAGCAGTTTATTATGTTTGAATCTAAAGCAATTAAAACAAAACAACTGAGAAAAGTCAATGTCATGATCCTGGCACTGATGACTGGATTATTGGTTCATTTCTACCACCTTCCTAGCTCTGCCCAGTTTTCATTTTCACTCATCAAATTCACCTGTTCCAGGTCCTATTTAAACTTCTTGTTCCCAGCTATCAGAGACAGATTATTTGAGCCATGCATGAGAGTCCTCTAGCGCAGCGGTCCCCAACCTTTTTTGCACCATGGACCGCTATATGTCAGACAATATTTTCGCGGACCGGCGGGGCGGACGGACCGGCCGGGGGGTGGACCGTTTTTTACTTGATCGTATTCAAATCACGACCCCCACCCCAGCGGACCGTCCGGGCGGGTAAATACGATTAAGTAAAATGATGTGACTGGCATAAAATCAAATACAAACAGCATAAAAATAAAAGAAGCCGTTCCCATCTAGCCGTAATCGGAGACAATGACAGACGAAGTGTGCTCCTGATGTTCAGTCTGCTCCGTAGCTTTGTTTTGGTCGCTGTAACCGCAGAAACTTTGACATTTTTCTGCTCCTGGATTCTGAGTTTTGCTTGCCCTGCTGTGATCTGTTTTGCTGGACCTGTCTTTGAATTTCTATTTGCATTCTGCCTGCTAACGTCCTTGGATCTGTCTCCTGACCCCCGCTTGGATTTCCCTTGCGTACCTCTTTGGATCTCTGATCTTCTTGCCTGGACATCTTCTCACGCATCTTCACCAACTTCGGATTATTACTTCTGCTCTTCCTCATCTGCCAGCTTCTGCTTGTCAGTCTGCTCTGCCTCACTCCTGGAACTCTCTGGACGGCTCCCGCCGCATACTGTGTAGAAATCATCCGACAGGGGTCCACTCCTTCCTCTGGGCTTGGACTGAATTTAAAAACCAGGTTAGTGACTCACATGCTTGTTACTGTTCCCCGCCAGAGTTTCGTGGTCACTAACCTAAGTTTCTTTCTCTACAGAGAGTCCAGTCATCCTGTCCCAGGCGTCGAGCCGCAGATTACTTAGCAGTAAATAAAATGCATTTTTTGTAATCACTTCTGTTCTCTCTGCTTGAATTTTGGGTCTTACATTCCGAGACTTGACATTGACATCTGTTTTTTTAGAGATGGTGACAAAACCATTTCTAAGGCCGTAGAACTAAAAAAAAAAAAAAAAAAAAAATGATATCCTCAAATAGAATGCTGGGGAACCTTCACATTAGTAGCCAGCCCATGCAAATTACTTCCAAGAAAGCAACAGGGATTTCACAAAGTCACCAACAACATCTAAAGGACTCAGACCTAGACTTTCTCTTGTGAAGGCTTGTATTTGTGATTTATCAGACTGGGTAAAAAATGCATCTATATGAGAGTAACAGTTTGGACACTTCTGATAAACATGATCCAAATACTAGAACTTGTGGGAGTGTGTGTGTCCATTATACACAGTGTTGAAGTAAAACAGCATTTCATGAAAATAAAATCATGAACACAATGTGATAGTCTGGGGCTGGACCTTGACAACCTGATGCAATGGGTGGAACTGAATAAAATAAAGCTTCCTAACAAAAAATCCTTAAGAGTATGAAGCCGTCAGCTTGTCTGTCTGTCTGTCTGTCTGTCTGTCTGTCTGTCTGTCTCACTATGGTAAGGCCCTAATGCTTAAAAATCCAGTATAGCTAAATTAAAGCAATTGTTTTACTAATAGTAAGCAGAAATTCCTCCCCAGTGAAAGACTTTGTTCCTGCAATTACTTGATGGAAATTGCTGCCTCATGAAGTGAAGACTAGCTTCTCATTAATTGTAGTCAAGATAATAAGATGAGCAAAACTAAACATTGTATGTGCAACAAGTTCATATAATGTTTGAGTCCCATATGCTGAATTGAATTGCTCTAATGAACTATTTAGTGATTTCCTAATTTACTGAGATTGTCCCTTTTTTCTATTCTTAACAGTTATTGCATTTAATTTAACCCCATAGCTCTTCTTGCACCATGCAACCAACCACTCTTCAGGTTCGGAATCGGTACTG